GTTCCATTAAAGAGTATTGTGATTAATTAATGTCTGCCATGGAAATTGCAGAACACATGCCATATCTTAGACTTTCTTGGTATAACAGAAAGAGCAGGGAACTTGGAATCACACGGACAAAATGGGTGGCTTAACCGGTAAGCATGATATGCACCAGCTTACAGTAAGCCAGGTATGCACAGGCTTAACTGTGTTTATTTACTAATCAGTAGTCCACAATTTCACCTGGTTTTCACCACATCTTTGTGGTGGTGAAAACACTTCTGATGTGGTCAAAACCAGGTGAAATTGTGCACTATAGTAAGTAAGCACAATTAAGCCTGTGCATACCCTGCTTATTGGGTAACCTATCCCTAGCATAAGTCTGAAAGCCAGCTATCAGCTCTGTGATCTTTGCCAAGTTTCTTAACCTCTAAGCCTTAACTTCTCATCTGTAACTTGGGAATGGATGAGAATTATCTTACAGGGTAGTTGTAAGGATTTAATGAGATAATGTTTGTAAAGTACCTGGCAAAGAGCCAGTGCTCCACAAACACTGGCTTCCTCTTCCTTGAGGAGCACTACTGGGCCTGAATATGGCTACCTAAAGCTCAGTTGTTAAGTGAATTGCTCAGGTCACTAATTTCTAAAGAAGCAAATCCAGGTGCAACCCACTCATATTTTTACTCTAGAACCATAAGGTGTCCCCAAACATTCTCATATCAGATTTTCTACAAAAAAAAACACTAGATGTGGAAACCATTTAAATCATCTAAGAATTATCAATCATTGAGTTAGCAAATTAAGCACACGAATGCCCTCCTCTCGACCCAGCTTTATCCATGCAACTAGCAGTTAATAAATGCTCTCTATGCACCAATCTTAAACCCAAATTGCTATGTTCAACCAAAAGGCTCTCTCCCACTCCTATCTGCTAACTGAAGCCTAACCTCACTACAGAGGGTAACCCTGCTGCTATTCTAGTAAACTCTCCTGTGTTCATCCCAGCCTCACAATTACAACTTCTAATTCTATATCCTGTTACCATTTTCGTCTTCCACTTGGAGTACAGCAGAATCCCTGATACAGATTTGGATACTCCCTACCAAATCACATACATAATTAAAATGCAACTATGCTATAAGCCCGATAACCCTGAGCCCAACATCCACAGTAACAAGGGCCCTATTGATGCAAACTACAAGATATTTTATTATTAAAACAATTTAATGTTTGCATGACTCTACATGAAGTCAGACAGGATTTTTATGCCAAGTCTATTTATTTGCTGAATGATCTTAAGTCAGTTATTTGATGTTAGTTTTCTCGTTTTAAAAATGGTATCATAAGAGCATTCTGAGACTAAGCAATGTATGTAAAGCACTTAGAATAGTGCCTGCCACGTGACAAAACAAACCAAACCAAACCCATTACTGTCAAGTTCGTTTGGACTCATAGCGACCCTATAGGACAAAGTAGGACTGCCCCATAGGGTTTCCAAGGTTGTAATCTTTACGGAAGCAGACTGCCACATCTTTCTCCCGCCAAGTGGCTGGTGCGTTCGAACTGCCAACCTCTTGGTTAGCAGCCAAGTGCTTAACAACTGTGCCACCAGGGCTCCTTTTTGCCACGTGATAGGTAATAATAATTTCAAACATGTATATAAAGCTTATTATGCTTTACTTATGTTAAGTAGTTTACTTATATTAATTCATTTAATCCTCATAAAAACCAAGATAGGCAATGTCCCTATTTTATGGAGGGGAAACTGAGGCATAGAGATAGTAAGTGGCTCCTGTGAAACTAAAACAAATTTACCAATTCAACTTAAAAGTTAATACTAATAAAATTCAAATCAACTGTACTGATTTGATTTGACTGATGTTTCACTGAAACTAAACCACTGCCAGCAACACATACATAGTAGTGACCTCTACGATTATGGCAGACATTCTTTTTAAGTTGGTTGTTTCCTTTACTGTACACCGTAGGCTGGATGAGGATTCAATTCTCTCTCCATATTTCTCTGTTGGAAGTACTGTGAAACCATCATGAAACCTTCTTTCCTATAGTGAGCTGGGAAGTCATTTAGTCATAAAGCATCATACTACGTCTATCCTCTTCCTGTGTGGCCGTCAGTCGATTCTGACTCACAGTAACCCTACATACAGAGCAGAATTCTCCCATAGGGTTTCCAAGGCTGTAATCTATATGGAAACAGATTGCCACATCTTTCTGCCTTGGAGTGACTGATAGGTTCAAACCGCCAACCTTTCAGTTAGCAGCCTAGCGCTTAACCAATGCGTCACCAGGGCTCATATCTTATTAGTCAAAGACAATCAGTAGTAGCATTGGCACAATGAGGTGGTAAACAAAAATCCAAGGAGCCTAATATCCTTTGCAGATGATTCACAATATACTTCTACTGATTTTTCCCTCTATGACTTCAAACAAAATTTATGATTTTTAAAATCAGAATTTATGCCCCACGCCTCCACAATCTAGTTTAAGAAACACCGCTGTAAGTCCAGGGTTCTTAACCAGGGTTCCACAGATTCCCTGAAATTCGGGGGAGTGGTGAACTTGGTACCATGTACTTTATTTTATGCACTTAAAAACAGTTTGAGAAAGCATCCAGAGGTTTCATCAGATTGCCAAAGGCGTCCATAACACAAAAACAGTTAGGAATCCCCACTTAGGTAGTCAAGGCTCCAAGGGAGTCTAAGATCAGCATATAAAAATTCTCAGAACAGAACCAAGAGATGCTGTGCAAATACCAGCCCAAAAATGACCCAATGTCCTGAGGAAACCTGTGAACATGAAGAAAGTTGGCCTCCAAACAAGGCCCTGGAGGTACAATTCAAGTCTAAATCAGCTCTCTGCTAGCTCCCTCTACCCCATTCAACAAGACTGCAGAACATTTTCCACCCCATTCAACAAGTCTGGAGAACATTTTTTAATTACAAAGAACCTCTCTCTGGCTGGGCTGGGCTCTGTACAAGCATCAGCATGCCTTCAGCAACCTCCAAGTTATGTGCCATTACACCCATTTTACAAGATGATGTAACTAAGGCCAGAAAGTAAAGTAACTTGCCTAAGGTCATTAAACCAATGGTGCTGGAGCTGGGCTACGAATTTGGGTCCAACTGTCTTTGGTCTTGTCCCTCCCGCCATGCCATGCTTCCTCTCCCTTAGGGAGCTCCCTCTCCCTGGCTCATCTGATTCATCTCATTTTTGACAGAGAAGAGGCCATCCACAGCTATTTAGTGGCAGGGCTGAGGCTGAACTGAGGCTTCAAACGCTCCTTATTTATTGCTGTTTCTTCTACTCTATGCCACCATTCTTGCTATTTTAGAATAAAATACAATTTCCCCAAAATCTAAGTGATTTTGCATTTTCATCAGGGCAGGGCTCTAATCAGTATTACTTTCAGCACAGTCCTTGGAATACAGAAGGTGCTCAATCAATATTTGTTGAATTCATTTTGAGGATTCCATTAAAAATTTATGATAAACTTTTTGATCAAATCTGCTAGCAAATATTTATTGTTTGAGTCAAACTAAATCTTTGTTCCCCACAAGTGCAACTTTCTTCATTCATTCAATCAATTCTGGCTCAGGTCCAACCACCTTAATGGCACCCAGTGAAGAACGGAGTCTCAAAGACTCATAGGATGTAGATCTTGCCTCTATAGTAACTGCCCTCTGAAAGAGCAGGGGGTACTAGAATGCAGAATAGAAAGAACCCTGAGAAGTATTGATAAAGTATCAGCGGCAATCAATGTGAGAGAACCATGACCAGGAGGTGGTGGTGGAAGACCAGGGAGGATTTCATGAAACTGGTTATACATTTTGGTATACAGTTTTGAAACTATGGGAGATTTCTCCCTTTTAAAATCTACCACCTATCATGTCCCTAAGTATTTTGGGTCACATTATAGCCAACTTTGTGGCTGTCCTAGTCGAGTTCTTGGCATTTCATAGGCAGAGCTTTCAAACAGGTTAATTAGAAAAGTCAAGAACTAGAGAGACCATTTTTACTGCCCAAGTTAAAAAAAAAAATACTACTCAAAATAAAACTAGAGATTTTCTGTATCAAGAAGCATTTATAAAGTGAAAATGTGCTTGGTCTACAGACAGCAAATAAAACAAGTTAAACATTTTGGGTAGCCATTAAAATAAAAAAATTTTAAAAAAGCACTTTACCAAATATCCTGGCTTAGAAGGGGATCACGCCTCCAGGGGCTGCCTACGTGGATCTCTAGAACCCAGGATGTGATTTTCAGGACTTGTTGCGGAATTTCACAATCAAGCATTCTGGCTTCCCTGTTCGTACATGAACCGTAGAAAGTTCCTGAAACGGCTACGATCGATCGACTTGACGTTTCACTGCTTTTCTTTGAATGTTTAAGGTTCAGTGCTTGGTGGGGAGAGATCACCAAACAATGGGGATGCCTGAACGCTACAGCACAGCAGGGGGTAAGGAGTCCCAGATCCGCAGGCTACAGAAGTCCCCAACCCACCCCAGGGCATCAAAGTAGTCCCCGGAAAGGTCGCCCTCAGCACTTATGGTACTCCGGGGCGCGGGACCCCGAGACTCGGGCCCCGGCCTCTCCCTCCGTCAGCGGAAAGAGAACCAGGGCTGGAGCACGGAGCCCAAGGATACTTTCTCACGTCGCCTAAAACGCAGATTAGCAGCAACACGAAACTCTCGAGACTGCCTTTCCTCCTGAGAACAGGTATTGAGAAATTAAAAGGTCACGCACGATTACTGATCTGCTCCCGAGGGCCCAGGATCCTAGGGCAGGGCCGGGGCGGCCTCGGGGAGATGCCGCGGGCAGGTGTGTGCGAGGATCGGGGCGCAGGGGTGAGAAGGACCCTGCGGACGCAAATGAGGGCTGGGATGGGGATAGCAGAGAGCACGAGGCCTTGCAGGGCGGCCAGAGGACTGCGGGAGGCTGTGAATACACCCCTTCCCCAACGTCAGCGGCGCCGCGGAATAACCCCCATGCCGCTACTCACTCGAGTCCAATGCTGGAGCCGACACGGTGGGTGAAAAGAGACGCCGGAGTGAACGCTCAGGCCAGTAGCGGAGCCGCGGCGGAACGCGCGCCGGCGCCTTTTAAAGAGTCGGACTAGGCGTGGCCTGCACAAGCCCCGCCCCCTCCGCGCCCCGCGGATTCCGGGACCTGCTCCTGCGGGTTGGGGCATCTCTGGAGGGGGGCCGCCCCGGCTCCGCGCCCAGCAAAGGAGGAACAAACAAAAGGCAGGACTCCCGCCCCTTCCTGCTGTGTCCCGTCCCGCAGGCATCTTCCCACGTCTCGGGGCGACTCCCGCCAGCTTGACCCCCTAGCTCCCCGCCCCAAATGGGACCTGGCTGTTTCCAGAGCAATGAGGAGTTGGAACAGGGGACTTCCTTACCCACTAGTGAGGTCAGTCCGCGGACTGTCCCATCGGGAAGCAACCCAGGTAGCCCTACGACGGACCCTTCCAACCGCGGGCGACCATTCCTTCTTCAGATCCAAGGTCGAGGAGGCTCCAGCAGTAAAAAAAAATCAGCCAAAAGGTCATACCACCGGACGTCGGGGGTTTCCGCCACCCCCGCCCCCTTGCGTTATCCTCGTAAGTAAACTCAACGTGATTAACTTCTCCAGTGGACAAATATTCTCTGGTCTAATTTCCAGCTTCTCGGAATCCGCTACCTTCCTGTTCTTAAACAGAGAAATTTCTCATCCAGACTAAATAAATGACGTTATGAAAACGCCTCAATCCCGAAGGTTTTGCAGTTCCCACCAGAGGGGGAGCTGCTGCGGGGAAAGAAATCCAAGGCCTGGCAGAAAAGGCGCCAAAGGACTCTGGGTTTCTATTCGTTGTGTCCGAAAAGCCCAGGGATGCTAGTGAGAACCAAAGGGACCTACTATCTTAGATGAAGGATCTTTACGAGATGAAAAGGAAAATAAATAATAACTGTCTCTATCTGGTCCACATTTGGGGCCTACTGATGACTACTCTGCCAGAAGCTATGATACCTGAGAATTGATGTTTGTGGGTTGGGAAGTCCAAAAAGGCAGTGACCAAAACCAACCCTCCTGTTACAGAAGCATTAACTCCTGTCACTAACTCCTCCTGTCTCTGGTGTGGAGTTTCTCAGCCTCAACACTATTGATATTTTGGTCTGTGCATTGTAGGATGTTTAGCAGCATCCCTGGCCTCTATGGCGCTAGATGGCAGTAGCACCTATTCCTGTTCCAGTCCCCACCCCCCCAACCAAAAATGTCTCCAAAAACCAAACCCTTTACCATGGAGTGGATTCTGACTCATAGCGACCCTACAGGACAGAGTACAACTGCTCCTGCCCCCAAAGGGTTTCCAAGGCTGTAATCTTTACGGACACAGACTGCCATATCTTTCTCCTGCAGACTGGTGGGTTTGAACTTCCAACCTTTGGGTTAGCAGCCCAGTGCTTTAACTACTGTTCCACCAGGGCTCCTTAAAATGTCTCCAGACATAGCTAAATGCCCCCTGGGGAGGGTCAGTAGTTGAGAACCACTGCTGCATGATAAAGTGCAGAACTGGCTTGTAATATTACTGTTTTATTTCATATGCTGGGGCCCATCCAGAATAAACTCATTATAACAGCAGCCTTATTTTCTGCCCACCAAGTACTGTATAAGGAAAAAAAAAAGTGGTGATTGACATCCCCTGATATTGTGGCAGGAGTCTGGAAGTATTCCTTTCTTCTGTGAGGTTTTCTAAATATGGGCAACCCTTATTTTTTATGATATTAGCTAATGTAAGTGACTCTTGGGGCTGACATGAAAATTCTGTTCCTCAGATTCTACATTTGCTTTAGGTCTGCTGCTTACAGTACTAATTTTTTTCTTGCATAGGGTTGGGTGGTGTTTCTACTGAGTAAGGCAACTGTATCAGTGCATTTCATGCAGTACTAGTTTCAGCAAACCATTGTCCTCTGTCCCTACCCATGAGTTCTTGATGGCATCTCTGTGGAAGCAACCACCCTGACTTGTTTGCTTCTCATCATATTGTCGCTAAATTCCACAGCCACAACTTATCATTTGAAATTGTGCTTACTTCTGACCTGAAAGTATTTCTGCTATCTGTCCCCGTTAATGAAAGGAGCCGTGGTGGTGCAGTGGTTAAAGCCCTTGGCTGCTTACGGAGAGGTTTGCAGTTGAAACCCACCAGCTGCTCTGCAGGAGAAGAATGTGGCAGCCTGCTTCCATAGAAATTCACAGCCTTGGAAACCCTATGGGGCAGTTCCACTCCCTCCGATAGAGTCGCTAGCAACTGGATGGCAGCAGGTTTAGTTTTAGTCCATATTGGTATTTGTCTCAGTACATTTCAGTGAGTTTGATGTACAACATTTGATTTTGAAGAAATTAGTATTTATTGACATTTTTTCAATTTTATTTGTTGTTCAGAATATACTCAGCAAAATATACACCGATTCAACAGTTTCTACATGTACCATTTAGTGACATTGATTATATACTTCGAGTTGTGTATAGTGCCCGGACAGGGATAGATTACCCAATACGCAAGGGCTTACTTCTGCTTACTTACTCATCTGTACTGCACAATTTCACCTGTTTTTCACCACATCAAAGATATGATTCATCTGGGAATCTGGTTAAAATTTAAACTCTGATTCAGTATATCTGGGGTGGAAATGCAAATTCTCAGCAGGGGGTTGAATCAGAACGAACCGGTTTGAAGCCCCGGTTTTAAGTGTTTTCCAAAACAATCAAGAGCCTTCCAATAGAAAGCAATTTGTGAGCCTGGAGAAGAGAGAGTGAGATAAATTTGGAGAAAAATCAACCGTTTTTAATTTTAGATGGCTCTACTCTGTTTCACCTCTTCAACCCTGTAACAGGCAAATTTAAAGGTTAAATGTGTCCAGCAGGATGTTTCTTTCTCTTCCACTAAATGCACGTTATACTTGTAACAGCTACTTCATTCTCTGGAACCCATACTCCAATTTCCAGTCAAGCCGTCTGTCAAGGTCAATGTCCTAAGGCGAGTTGAATCAACATTGCCTTTCTTCATGACCTTGTGCTCCAAGGTCAGATTTTTCAAATATTTTTATTATTTTTACTTCATACCACTTTTTCTTAACAAAACTCTGAGTCATATGAGTGTGACTGTAAACACAAGAACCCTTTATTGTATGTCAGAGCAGGGATTCCTTCCCAGAAGCCAGCTAGGCCTATGGTAGAGAGAAAATTTTTAGCATATATTAAGTAAAGGAAAAAATAAATTCTTACATTGTAATCTACATGCTTAAGAATACAAAAGAAGCAGCTGTTCTACCTTATTTCTTAGCCAAGATTTAGTAGCAGCAGTGGAAATTCAAAATTATTCATTCTCAACCCTAATACTCTATGATGCATTTTCTGGCAGAAAAAAGAATAATACAAGTTGTATATGCATAAATTTTGAAAGGATGATTAGAGCAATGTCTTTTTCTTGATATGTCATAGCAGCTCTTTTTGTAACCTGCCATAAAGCCTTACTCCATACAACTTGCTTCGTTTCCCAGCCCTCTTTGTACAATAGGTACTATTTCCTCTTCAGTGCTATTATCTTCTATTACAGCATGATTTGTGATTTCTTTTCTACAAAAATTTTCTAGCTTTTCTAGCTCTGCTTATGCATTCTTATTATAGCAGAGTTTTCCTAGCTCTACTTGTGTGAAAGATCCATTAACTTTAACCTCCAAGATAGCCCATTCCATCCATTTTATTTTAACCTCTTAAATTACCCTATTTCACTTTTCCCCAGTATTCTCAGCAGATGACATTGCCTTCTCCTTCATTGGCATTTGCAACCACCAGCCAAGATTTCCTCAGCCTTCCTCCACTTTGTCTCTAAACATCCATATTTTCTCCCACGTTTGTACTTGCTGTCCCTGATCTCAAGGGAACAGATGGGTCTCTAACTCCTTAACAAAGATAACCACTCCACCTGTGCTTTTAAACATTCTTTCCACATTCTTTAGTTATACCTTCTTGCACTTCAATTTCTATGTCTCTACTGCTTACTTTGCTTACAAATTATAAAAATACTTGTTTATCCCAATTAAAAAAAGGTGATGAAATTTCTGACTCGTGTAGTAAGTATTTGTGGTTGCCTCTCCAGTATCCATTCCTCTTTCCCCAAGAGACCTTGGTTTCTGTTTGGGGTCCATGTGGTTTCAGGAAAGGTGACTCTACACCCTAGTTCAGAGTTGGAGCACTGGGACCTAGTTGGCTAAGCCAGTCAAGCCTTCCAGCTCTGACTTGGATGGGGGAGGGGTGACATAAGACCTAAGCCCATCCAATCAGAGTGAATCACGGAATCCTGCTGGTGTGCTAACACAGATCCATGCTCTCCTGTTCTGGAAGGGGCTGTGTACCTATATGAGACCTAGAGTTGTTGCAGCTATTCTTGCTAATACGAAGCTGGCCTGTGGATGATTCAGTACAGATAAGAGAACCAAGAAATAGAGCCAGAGCTCTGAACAAACTACTCATGAAGTCTATCTTACCAGCAGATATTTTCATTGTTGGAGCAAATAAATTCCCATTGATGTTTAATCCATTTTGAGATGGATTTTCTGTTACTTGTAATTAGGACTCCAAACTGAATGTAGTAGATTAAAAAATATGTCCACAAATTCTTTGATACTCCTCTCTTTAATAAGTAAAACTTAATTCTCCCCTTGAGCGTGGGCTAGATTTAGTGACTTGCTTCTAGTAAATGTTGTTATTAGGTGCCATTGAGTTGGCTCTGACTCAGATCTAGTAAATCGTATAAAGTGTGTGATTCTGAGACTAAGTGAAAAAAGGCATTGCACTTCTCCTTTTTCTCTCTCCATCTATGATTACTTGCTTGAGGGAAGCCAGCTGACATGTCAGGAGGACGCTCAAGCAGTCTATGGAGAGCCCATATGGTGAGGAATGGAGTTCTATGGCCAACAGCCCAGAGGAGCTGAGGCCTTCTGCCAACAAAAACAGGAGTGAGTTTGGAAGTGAATACTCCAGCCCTGTCAAACCTTGAAATGACTTCAGCCTTGGCCGTCACTTTGA